GGGGAGGCACAGCCTTCCCTAACTGGCCCTCCATACAATTACAGAAACTCAATGTGGCCCCTCCATAAAGTTTGCCCGCCCCTGAGTTAGAATGTGCCTGGGATATAACTGAGCCCAATGGATGAAATTAAGAGGAAAAACTTTACCTAAATATAAGGAAACACTTGCTGATATTGAGAAGTGAGGCTGTGGAATGGTATCCCAAAGAATTAGATGAACCCTAAGACACATCTCTCATTTCTAACTTCCAAAGTTCTGTAACGATTGGTTCCTGTTGTACAGTTTCACTTCCTAGTTCTTGTGCAAGACTTGAGTTGCAGAGGACACTGCAAGGGAATGCTTAAATCTAAATACACCGTAACTAGTTGGTCTAAACTTCAAGAAAATAGTCCTATTCATATCCAGTTAAACCTGAATTTTCAACCTACACTACCAGATTGTCACTTTAATAGAGCAGCAGTGCATTAGTTTATATTGCTGTTGTAAAGAGCATTCGAAAAGGCATGAGACTTTGTTTTTTAATGAAAGTTTAGCTCCTCTGTAAAGGAAATCAGAGATATCTTAAAATCCTGGATTCCCCAATGTGATTCTTTTCAACCTGAGAACTTACTGAAGATGTTACTCTTTCACTGATCTCGTGGGAAAGCGGGTATGGAAATATCTTTAAAAACTCTCATGCTTAATCTTAAAAATATTACCCGAGTGTGGGTACAGATTCAGTTCTCTCTGTCTTTTTCTGGAAAGGATTTTTCCCACAAAGCAAATTAATAAGGGGTTCCCTTTAAGATATACACCTCTACCCCGATATAACGCGACCTGATATAACATGTATTCGGATATAACGCAGTAAAGCAGCGCTCCGGGTGGGCGGGGCTGCGCACTCGGGTGGATCAAAGCAAAGTTCGATATAACGCGGTTTCACCTATAACACAGTAAGATTTTTTGGTTCCTGAGGACAGCATTATATCGGAGTAGAGGTGTATACTTATGGAAGAGACTGACGTTCTTGGGGACACAAGAAAGATGGATTTGTGCAACCCCTAGTTGTAGCACAATGTCTCTCTAGCAATACTTTTAAAATGCCCCGTTGTACCATGCGGAGGTTGATGAAATAATTAGAAATTTTTTCATTTATGTGGGACACTTATTTTCATGTAGTTTTGAGTGAATGTCGCTTGCGTTGAAAAGCTGCTGTCTTGAGCTTGTGGGAGGTATAAAACCAGTGGACTCTAAACTAACATGTCTTAAGTACTCCTTTAAAGACATTTTTATTATGCTTACACTTTGAGTGCAGGGTCTAAAGATACTTAACGTAGACAGGGTTGGCGCCGTGATATAGCACAGATTTCTACTGGAAAAAGAATGAAAAATAACCTGTCCTAATCTTTTGCTTGTATAGATGTGAAGTCGTGTGATTCACTGAATGTTGCTGAAGGAAGTTGCTAGATAACATTTTGCCAGAGGATACAGAGAAACTATAGTAGCGATAGATTTATTCCATGAAGCAAAGCCACCTGTCCATGTTTCGTGGCAGGTGAAATGATAAGCATTGAACTGAGACCATTATCTGTATCCAGAACACTATTAGAAAAGCAGGTCTGCGGCTTTCTCCCTCCTCTAATTGAGGTTGCATTAACTGCCTGGCTTCATCTGTCTCTCTCAAAGTGAAAAGGGCCTGGTTTGAATCCGATAAAACCGTGATGTACTTACCCGTTTTATTGTCTCCCCTCAAGCCTGTGCCGACAGCACTGGCTCAGGTGGATAGAGAGAAGATCTATCAGTGGATTAATGAGCTGTCCAGCCCTGAGACCCGTGAGAATGCCTTGCTGGAGCTGAGTAAGAAGCGTGAATCAGTCCCTGACCTGGCCCCAATGCTATGGCACTCATTTGGCACAATCGCAGCTCTTCTGCAGGTGGGTGCTTTTCCTTTGCACCTGAAATGATGCTCGGGTGCTGCGGGGGTGACCGGGAGAGCTCGCTCATTGATGTGGTGTCTCTTGGGTTTCCTGAGTGACCTCTCTGTCACTTAACCCTTCCTACTGCAAGAGAGCCTTCCGAATAAAAACACACACCTCCCTCCCTGTTCGCCTCTTCAGCAGTCCAACACGTTCCACAGCTGCTGTTTGGCTCTCAGAGTATGAGACCTGGGGGTTTCCTTTGAGGAATTAAATTAAAATAAGAGGGACGGGCACTGAGAAACTCCTGTTCAGCGTACGCATGGAGCAAGGGAAGAAAGTCAGAAAGAGCTTAAGTTAGAAATGGACAGGCATGGGTCAGACTTTTCCTCCTCACTCACGTCCTTATAACTGCCCCCTGTGCTCATGCAGTTCATCCTTCTTGGTACCCATAGCGTCTTCGCTTCAGGGAGACCAGAGGTCCCAGCATATGCTAGATCAGGATAGAGCTTTGCATGCTGGGACTTCTAGGCACAGTGGACTGCACCGCTGTTGTTTGTTGGTACTTCTAGGGCATCAGTCACCATAGTATCTAACCAACAATTAAGGGCAGCTGTAATCTGCTTAATTACATGCAGAGTAGATGCATCACCTTGATACCTGGCAATTTGCACAGTGCAGCCCTCAGTTGGGCAAAGTTTGAGTTCCCCAGGTTGCATAACTTCCTTTTAAAATGATGCTTGCAGCAGTGCTGTGGCAAACAGAAGGCAGCCATCTCTCTGGCACTTGCAGCCACTTATCAGGCGAATGTATTTCTGCAGCTTGGTCTGGTTTTCTCCTTTAATTTTGCTTTGTTTAACTTTCTTAGGAAATTGTAAATATTTATCCATCAATCAACCCGCCAACCCTGACAGCCCATCAATCTAACCGAGTCTGCAATGCTCTGGCACTCCTGCAGTGCGTTGCGTCGCATCCGGAAACCAGGTAAATGTCATCAGTCATATTGGTTAGCCTTGAGGTCCCTGTAAACTGTGTGTCGGGCTGGGTAAATCGTTTGCTCTAGGCAAGTGGTAAGTTCTTTGTACTGCCGCCACATTAAAGGCAGTGTGGCATATGACACTAGATGATAAACAGCAGCTTTGGGGATCTTTGCATGCAGCTTGACAGAAGCCCCAAACATAGGACATTGCATTTTGAGATTTCCTCAAATACCCCGCTCTCTAAAACGTGGTCTCCCCAAGACACTCCAGCTGAGATTGGGGCCCTGTTGTGCTAGCACCGAATAAGAGCTTGCCGTGTAATTTGAGAAGACAGCGGGTGGGAGGAAGAGAGGCACAGCCTGGGAAAATGTCCCAAAGTCACTCAGCGGGTCAGTGAAAGTGCCACGCCTGGAGTCCCAGTCAAGTGCCTTATTTGCTGGAGAACACTGTCCCTCCAATATCCTAGGGCCTCACTGTCCCCGTTGCTTGGACAAGGAAAGGAATAATCCAGGTGCTTGCCCGAAAGCCCTGTGACTGAAACCCAGCAGAAATCCGGCCTAATGGCCATGTTCTCTCATGTTTCCGTTCTCCCTGTGAATAAGGCCCTGTAACGAAATTGGGGGAACAATTAGGAAGCAGAATGTCTTTCAGCCTCTGCCAAACAAGGTTTAACAGCACTGCTCCTTAAGCCAGGCTTCAAGGAAACAGTCCAGATTTTTCACTGGATTCCTTTATAACTTCATAAAAATGTGGAAACTCAAGCTCAGTATCTGAAGGGTGGATTCTCTTTAGTCTGAACACAATCCTGTGCGTTCAGTAGAACTCCCCTAGGATGGCCTTTGGAAATGGTATGTCAACAGGGGAACCTCTTCCTCTGGGGACTTCCCGCAATCAGAATTCTTTCCAGCCCATTCTCAGAAATGGGTTCTGGGGCTGGGAGCCAGGGATGACTGAGTGCTGTGGTGACAGTAGGTCTTGTGCAATATTTATACTGTAGGAGTATCTAGAGGCCAAGCAGATTGAGGTCCCATCAGGCCGGGGGCTGGGCATGCACCTGGTAAATAAGTCACTGCACCAAAGTATCTACAGCCTACAAAATCAGTTGTTACGTGGGTGAGACAAGAAGCAGATCAGAATGGGGGAGATGGGGTAACACAGAAATGTGGATGTGTGTGATCCTTCGCCTGTTGGGAGCCGTACCTGTGACCCATCACCTGCCTGCCCGTCCAGAGCATGTCACCTCCCTCTCTCCATTTGTAAACGGAGGATACTTTGCCTGCCCGCCCAGAGCGATGGGTGTTAACGTCTGGTCAGGCGGAGGCAGATGTACCGCGCTGTTACTGGATTGTGTGTTCTGTTTAGCCCTCTTGGCTTCTCGTGGTGTATGTTCAATGTGTCTTCTGCCTTTTCTTCCAGGTCAGCCTTCCTTGCAGCTCACATCCCTCTCTTCTTGTATCCCTTCTTGCACACAGTTAGCAAGACTCGTCCATTTGAATACCTGCGGCTTACCAGCCTTGGAGTGATTGGTAAGCAGTCATGCAAACGCTGGGAGCACTGGCTCCTCCTTTCCTATGGGCCACTCATCCCATGCCTTTAGTGTAGCAGCACCTTAAATCACTGTTGCTGTCCTTCCCTACGTGATCTTCTGAGTTATGTGATAACGTCTAACTTCCCATTGATGTGCGGAGAGCTTACCAGCGTGACTCCCATTAATACTAGTGGGAATTGTGGAGATCAATTCTGTGTGTTAGTGGTAGAAAAGACCCTGGAGTTTTGGACCATGGCTGGGTTGCTGGTGGGTTTTCACACCAAATACAAGTGCATGGCTGATGTATCGATAGCATGCGCCTAAGCCGTGTCTTGGTTTGGCACATTGGCTGCATTGGGAAGTCCTGGCCTCAAAGCAGGTGGGGAGTTCGCTTGCAGGAACAGTGAAGCTGCTGTTTCTTCAGCTACAAGCTGAGCCTGTCAAGAGCAGTAATTACTGAGGGGGCCAAACTTCCAGAGTGTTTCTCCATTTTCTTGTCATGAATTTACTTGGGTGTCATTTTCCTCTCGATTATTTTTTTCCTAAAAGCTTTCTAACCCAGCACAGTAAGTGGGGCATTAAGATGGCGTCTCTAAGATGCATTCATTTTTCATAAAGGTCGCCAGTGGTCAACCACCGATGATTCAGATCGGGTTTGTTTTATTGCTGGGAGGAGACAAAGCCTAGACTTTACCTGCCTTTTCAAAACTGGCATATTTGCTTCATTCTGCTGAAGCGATGCAGTTCCCTAGCCAGAAACGGCAGCAGATTCAGCGTGAGGATTGCACTGGCTGCGCAGTGCCCGGCACCGGTTTATGTAGCACGTTCCCATGCCAGTCACCCCGTTCTCGTCTCGGAGAAGCAGTCTGCACTCCCATGCGCAGCGTGGTGAGGATGTGTGCCTTGGAGAGGCTTGGAGCACAGCTTCCAGGGACCTTTTGGTCACCCGGCGTTGAGTGTTGCATGAAGCCATCTTCTCTTCCTCTCTTTTCCCCCCATGTTGGTCACAATGTGCTAGTTGGTTTTCATAGAGAAACGGCCCAGTCCCTGCCGCGTGAAGCAAACAGTGTAAAGTCAGACAGAGAAAAGCAAGGGGCGGGGATACAGCCAGTGAGCGATGAAGGTAGCGTTTGCCCTAGTCTTGGTAGCATCAACGCTTTAATCTTTTCCGGTGAGATATGTACCTTATTCCCAGTAACCCCTCCTGCTTCTCGCTGCAAGTCCGCTCGATCCACCCAGGTGGCATGGGACTGGACAGTCCTCTCAGCTGACCATGACCCCGGTTAATGGCTCTTAAGTTCCAGACAAGCGAGTGGGTGGGCCGCTTTCGGCAAAGCGGGTGCTAGGAATCCAAAGGATTGTCCCCACCGGATGGTAACGGTTCGAGAAGCCGAATTTGGGATACGGCTGCTGCTTGAGCCATTGCTCCGTAACCATTCAGATATTCTTCTTCGTGCTCGGGCGGTGCCCAAAGTCTCCCGTTTGCTGGACAAACCTGAGCAGTGCTTGCATTCTGGTCACCGCTCTGCTCGTAGAAATCTTTGCCCCCTAGCTCAGGCTGCACTTTCAAAGACAGGAGGGATTAAAATCTGCACCTCTTTTGTCTGTTTTTAGGGGCCCTGGTGAAGACGGATGAGCAAGAAGTGATAAACTTTTTGTTGACAACAGAAATTATCCCCCTCTGCTTGCGCATCATGGAGTCTGGCAGCGAACTTTCCAAGACGGTATTTGCTTTTAGTTGAATTAAGTGATTTGTTTTTGTTGGCCGTTTCCCAGGTGTTCTGTTCATGTCCCTGCACGCAGCAGATCAGTGCGTCTTACCAGTTAGTTTGAACTTCTCCCTGTTGCAACTTGACATCGTAAAACGACAGGGGCAATTGCTGATCCCTTTATCGCCTTTCAAAAGGTTGCTGTGAAGATCCGAGCTGGATGTTATCCACCGTCCTCCTCCGCACTAGCCAGAGAATCGTATTCCGTCATTCCTGTACCTAGCCCAGTCACTGGTGGTTGATTAAAGCATCTCTTCCAGAGAGGCAGCCTGGCTGTTAACACTTGAGATGAAAACCACAAGCCAGCGGGGCAAGGTTGTGTATGGCGAAGCAGGGCCATGGGATGGGGTGTTCCCCTCTGTCTCCCCTCTCTCGACAGTTGACCGGTCTGAATTGCCCGTTACCTCGGGTAGCGTGGCAGTAATTGTTAGGCCATGTCCACACTACTACTTACGTTGCTCAGGGGTGTGAATATTCCATCCCCCTGAGCGAGCTAAGTGACGCTGGCATAAGCAGCGCAGTGCACAGCGCTGTGTCGGTGGGCGAGCGTCTCCCACCGCCGCAGCTCTCGCCGCTCGTTGGGGGTGTTTAATGATGCTGATGGGCGAGCTCTGTCCCGCCAGCGTAGAACAGCTGCATGAGAGATCTGACCGCAGCACAGCTGCGTCGGTACAGCTGTAGTGCAGACATAGCCTTAGTGAACATACGACTCAACACAGCCCTTCGTTGTTATCCAGCTGCTGTAGCTGCCTCTCCCCTTTGGAGCGTTGTTCTAGCTGTGTTTGCCCCAGGATATTTGAGAGACAAGATAGGTGAGGTCATCTCTGTTACTGGTGAGAGAGACAAGCTTTCCAGCTACACAGAGCTCTTCCTCAGGTCTGGGAAAGGTGTTACAGCTAAATAGGAGGTGAAACAAATGGTTTAACGCAAGATGTTCACACACATTCTGAGGGGGACACATTCAAGGTGAAGTGGCCCATTAACACCCTGGCAGTCATAGGACAAAAAAGAGGGGTTAGTGGGTTACAGATTGTGGTAACAAGCCATAAATCCAGTGTCTTTATTAAAACCATGATTTTTAGTGCCTAGCAAAGTTATGAATCCCTGGCTGGGATGATTTAGTTGGGGATTGGTCCTGCTTTGAGCAGGGGGTTGGACTAGATACCTCCCGAGGTCCCTTCCAACCCTGAGATTCTCTGAGTCTATGAATTGAAGCTCCCAGGCTCGTCTTTTGAAAGTGTTCTGTGGGTTCCCTTTGAGGCCGAGGACTGGTAGGTCAGATAGAGAGCGATCGCTTTGGGACAGGCGTTCGCCCACAGGACACGTGGTGTGTTCATCTTTTATCATTTTTCTGTGCGAGTTTATACGGGGGAGTATTGATTTCATCCACGTCGTCGCTGTTGGGGCATTGGGTGAGGTGCACCACATGTTGTGATAGGTATGTACAGCGCCCAGGGATCCTGAAAGGTGTGTTGTGGGGGATATATCACTGTAGCGGTGGAGAGGTGTCTGCAGGTTTTGCATCTGTTGTTCAGGTCAGGGTCTGGTGCCCCTTTGAGTCGGTGGGTCCTGATCTGTTTGTTCCTTTCTCCCCTTCACAGTGAATTCCATGTGCTGTGTAAAGACCAGCTGTTCCTTCTGGTTTGAAACTGAGTAAACCTGTTAGCCACCCCTGTTGAACTACTTGGTGCTCTTGGCATGTGTCCGTTTTGCAGTTGGTTGGGGTTGCTGTCAGAAGAACAAACAGGACGTGGTCCATTACAGGCGCAGCTGGTTAAGTGATTTCTCCCCTCTGTTCCAGGTTGCTACGTTTATTCTACAGAAGATCCTCCTAGATGATACAGGATTGGCGTATATCTGCCAGACTTATGAGCGGTTTTCTCATGTCGCCATGATATTGGTAGGGTCGGTTGCTCCCTTCACTTACTACAGGGGTTACGCTGGAGCACCCGGCTTGTGTTTACCCATGATAGCACCTGCTGCCAAGGGTCTGTCCTGTTCAGGCTTCCCAGGGTCAGTTTTGTAAATTCACCGGCAGCTTCTCGTCTAACTCTTACTGGGATGGGTGTAAAACACAGAGTTGGTATTTGTGAATAGACTGACTAAAACCTGCACAGTTAGAATCTCCAAGGAAGATCCCTCAGTAAGGGGAGTGAGGTGGGACATAAACGATGCAAAACGAGCTATTTTAGCAGCATAGATCAGTTAATATCCAATGGGCCTGAGGTCGGATTATGTCGATTTCTGTCAAGTGTTTATTAGACATTCGTTACCCCTCTCTTACGGCTCTAAAGGAGGGGGAATGCTGTCACCTATAGGCAAACCCAGTGAGCAGATGCTGAAAACATAGTCCTGGGAAATGCTTTCCATCCTGACCCTTGGACCAAAGCTCAGGGAGGTGGAACTCTTGCAGGTCCTGGGTTGAATATGAATTAATCAAGTTTTGAAGGAAATGGCCGGTGATGTAATCTGTAATGACCTCTGGGTCCATCCAGCTGTAAGTGGGTCTTGGTTGGAGAGAGCCCTGCAGTAGTGGCCCCGGTTTGAGCAGGATCTTTGAGTTGGGATCATCTCCTATTAGTGTTACAAGCTAGACTGGAAAGATGCTATCCACCTGCCAACAGGCACCAGTCACCTCCGCTTTGGTGGCTGCCAGAACCCGGCCCCGGTCCTGGGAGAATGAAACAAAACCACCGAAGTTCAGCACTTCCTAGTGCTTTTTCTAAACACCGTTTCTCTAACTGGAGCCGCTCCTTTGTTGAACAGGGTAAGATGGTCCTACAGCTCTCCAAGGAGCCGTCAGCAAGGCTGTTGAAACACGTGGTCCGCTGCTACCTTCGCCTTTCCGATAACCCAAGGTAAACATTTTAGGAGTTTTCAGGGGCTCCTGGGCGGCAGAGAGCAAAGGTGCTTCCCCCTCTCGCTGGAAGTGCCGTTCCATCGGGATTCCCACTTCGTGTGTCTGCCTCTCGGTCAGCCTTGGGACCTTTCTCGTGCCAGGCCTGTGAGCTCCCCCAGCACCTGGGCTCTGCCTGACTTTTGTAACGCAGGTTGAATGGTCATAAATTACAACTGTCCCAGTGTGACTTGACCCCGTAGGGACCAGTGCCGCTGCGTGAGCTCTGCCTCGCTCCTCTGGGGCTGTGCTGGCGGGTGACACGGAGAAGTGCTGCAAAGGGCTCGTGGAGGGCGGAGTGGTGGAGTAACGAGGGGCCACTTCTCTGGCTAGGTATATTTGTATTTACTCCGTCCCTTGCTGGGCAGTCTCTGAAGCTTCTGACTCGGCTTCCTGTGCAGACATGCCGCCCCCCTCATGTCTGGAAGGGGGTTGTGACTGGGAATGTGTTGGGACGGGGGGGCCCTTGGGTCAGTTCCCTTTAATGTGGGGGATCTGCCTGGAGCTCTTGGGTTTGGGGAGGAGGGAGGTCCTGGCCATGGTCTAGGGGGCGGAGTTTCCCAGGCGTGCTCAGAGCAGCCTGTCCCAGGCTGTAATGTTCCAGCAGGGGGCCTGCTCCCCTCTTGTCAATGTGAGTTTATTTGTTGGTCCCCCTGTTTCTTGTCTCCTGATGTAGGGCACGAGAGGCTCTCAGACAGTGCCTTCCTGACCAGCTGAAGGACACCACCTTCGCCCAGGTGCTGAAGGACGACACCACCACCAAGCGCTGGCTGGCACAGCTCGTCAAGAACCTGCAGGAGGGTCAGGTCACCGACCCCAGGGGCATCCCCCTGCCCCCGCAATGACACCCGCGGAGGGCGGGGCACCAGGGAGGAAACAGCTCAGGTTTACAGAGAACCAGGAACCGATGACCTCTTCCAGAACCGCCTGGGTGCACAGGCCAGCCTCCGGCCTGCCCGCCTCCCAGCCAGCAGGACCGTTCCCCCAGCCGCGGGGGGATTGTGACACCAGCACATACTGTTACTGCAGCTTAAAAGCCAAGCACCGCCTCTTCCCAGCTCGGCTGGCGTCTGCCTGGGGCCGTGCTGGACGTGGACTCTTCCCCGTAGCGCAGTCTCCGTGCCGGTGGCGCGTGGCCTCGCATTCCTTGTCACTTTCACCGTTTACAAGTCTGTTAGACAAGCGAGCTCAATAAAAGTTGACCCAGTTGTTTTATCCCCTCCACAGAGCGCGAACCGGCTGCGTCTCGCCCAGGGGGCGGCTCTCTCCCCGTCTGACATGAAGCAGCTTCTTTCTGGCTGCCGCAGCTGCCTGCCCGGGCTTTGGTTTCCGTTTGCCATGGGCGATGGCTGGAGCCAGGCCCATCTGCGCTCCGCTGGCTGGGGGAGCGAGGGAAGGCTTTGATCCTGGGTTCTGGCCCGTCCCTGGGGGTGGAGGTGACAGCAGGGTCGCGTTCCTGGGCTGTAAATTGTGCATTGCAGCCGCTGTGACTGCCGTGCTCAAAGCCCCGTGAACTGGCTCTCCGGCGTCCCCTGGACTGAAGTACAGCACCTCCTCCTAGTGCTGCCCTCTGCCCGCAGGACGGAGCTGGGTTCGGACGCCCGCGCTGCTGGCCGGGCTGAAGGGCAGCAGCTCGTGAATGTGTTAGCTCGGCCGCTTTGCTGTCCAGAGCCCGTTGGAGGAGATCCTGCCTCTGGGCAGCAGGGGACGTGGCAGGAGCCAGTTCAGGCAGGTGCCAAGGGCTCCGGGGACGTCAGCTTTTCTGGGGTGCCAGGCCTCGAGGCTGCCTCCATACACAAGGGCTCTGGCTCTTCTGTCCGTCCCCCATCCACCCCTTCTCCCCTGGCCCAGTGTTGGCGTCTGCCTCAGCCCACAGCAATGAAGGCGCTCGCCTGCCTGCGTGGAGAGGGACAGGCTAGCTTTTCCAGCTGATCCGAGCGGGGAGGCAGGTTGGCTGTAACTTGTCCAGCAAGGCTAGAAGCCGGGGCCCCCTGGTGACTGCCACGCCCTCGCCCTGCAGTGAAAGCTGGGCTTGGCTGTGGCACCGAGCAGGCAAATCTTCCTAGGGGAGAAGCTTTGTCCCTTTTTGCTGATCGTCGGCCATGTTGTTGTGCCAACAGTGTCTTAACCTCCTCCAGGCCTCTCCTCCCCCAGCCCGTGGCCAGCCCCGCGGGACGGGGGCTCCCTCCCTTACCCCGGGCTCTGGTTTTATAACGGATAGTCTCATTTTTGCCATCCCCGCCTTGACGCGACTTAAAAATGCTTCTGTTTTGTAACTTAAACTTAATAAAAAAAAACCCCAAAGCACCACTGTTCCCGTCTGATCTCTGAGTGTGGGATCAGAGAGGGGCCGTCCGCAGGCAGGAGATACGGGAGGCCGGGTAAGCGCGCCCTCAGGCTCCTGGATCCTGGGTTGGTCAGTGGTGACTGGGGGTGGGGAGTGGGAGGCGAATCCGCTCTAGGGAGGATACTGGCCGTTTTAAGTGGTTGTCTCCCTGACCTGTCCGGTGTCTAGACCCACCCCACGGTCTTGTCTGCGTCTGGTTGCAGGAGCTGTTTGTGTCTTGTCTGCGCCATTCAGATGAGTGGAACACGGCGATGGCTCTTAATCTTGTGTTTGGCCGAAGCCATCCGCTGTCAGGTCCTACAACGTAGTGCTGAGTGGTCTTAGGTGGAAATCTCTGGTTCCCAAACACCTCCAGGGAAACGCTGCCCTGCTTCTGGGGGAGCAGGGGGGCGGGGTTCATTTCTAATCCCCCTCCCTGGGCCTGCTGGCTGTACTCAAAGCAGCGGCTCTCCTGCGGAGCAGTTAACAGATAGTTTGTGCTCTCTTTCCTAGGTGGGGTTCCTAGCCAGCTCCTGACTCCCCTGCCGAGATTACCCACCCCTCGCTGGCGCTGCCCAAGCCCCAGCCATGCCAGTGTGAGGATTCACAGTCCTGCTAGAGCATCTGCATTGTGCTCGGGCCTGCAGGTCTGCTTCAAGTGTAGTGAGGGTAAAACAAGCAGAGAGTCGGGGGCAAGATCCCAGAGCGGGGCTTGGGCCGTTCCTGCGCTGCGTGGAGAGGCAGATGGTAAATGAGGCCGGGATTCCGGTGTGAGCTAGGCCTGTGCCACCCTCTGAACCCAATTCCAGCTCCTGTCTCTCAGCCTGCCTAGCGGCTCCTCTTGCATGGGGGCTTTTCCCCCTTCTTGCGTGGGGACCCCGGCAAGAGCCGGCCGGTGATTTGTGGTGGACCTTGTTGGCGTGAGTCCCGTGGGACGATGTCAGGTGCTGCCAGCAAGGGAGAAATGAAATTTACCTTCCTTCAGTGGGGGTGAAATCTACAAGCGCCTCCCTGGGAGCGGCCGGGCTGCGCTGGTTGAGGGCGTCGACATGACCATGCGCCAGCGGCCAGCAGACGGAGCAGAGCTGGACGCAGAGGCTTAGCTGGGCTCCACTGGGCCTGTCAGCACTAACAGCCTAATCCTCCACCCAGCAGCTGTTACCTAGACGCCTGGCAGCACCTCCGGGGCGGGCTGAGTTCAGAAATCCGTCCGGGCTTGTGCGGGGCGGTGACCGGCGGAGCCATTCCTGGCTGTGAACTGACAGGACCTGGCCTCCTTGTGGCAGGTAGGGAAACCGAGGCACCGATGGGGCTAGACAAGCTGGGCCTAGAAGCCGTGTCTCCCACCTCCCTCTGCGAGGTGCTGCCCGCGGGCCAGGCTGGTGTTACTGTAGCGGGGTCTAGAGCGAGGCGGCTCCGCTTGGCAGAGCGGGACGGAGGTGATCTGGGCTCTCCCCAGCTCTGCCTGGATCCTTTACAGCCCCCCCCCTTGTCGGTCCATCGGCCATTCCCCCCATTCCTTCCTGCTTTGGGTATTCTGCTCTTCGGGGACCCCGAAGGAGCACTGCGCCCAAGGCACTCTAAGGCTGTGGGAGCCGGGGATGGGTTACAGCGCGTGAGCAAAGCGGTCAGGCTGATGGCCGTGGGTGGCTTGTTAGTCGCCGTAGCTCTGAGCTCCCCTCAGTGGCTGTCCTGGCCCCCACGATGGGGTTTGCAGCTGAAACTGTTTGTGAGGTTTTGTCCTGCACCCTGTGAGCCTGTGGGAAGAGCAGGAGGCAATGGAGCCCGGGGCTGGTGCTGAGTGGCACCTCTGGCTGGTGGAGGGGTGTGGGCTGGCTCATGAAATGCACCCGCCTTCTGCTGCAGCCCCCCAGAGCCACTACCCCTCCAAACGGTGCCGCCTCCTCCAGCCTGACCATCTCCATCCAGTGCCAGCGCCGCTGCTCTTTGCATCCCTTTCCCAGCCCCAGAGCTCGCCAGGCCAGGCCTTTTCTGGTCCCAGTGGGGCCTCGCCAAAGCCCAGGGTCTATTTCAACCTGCCTGGGTCCCACCTTCAGCTGCTTCCAGACGTGGGGTGCAGGAGATGGGGCCGGTGCGTCTCTCTGGCAGGTGCCGCCTTCCTCCCGCTTGCTGGAGCCAGGGCAGAAGGGGGCTTCCCTCCAGGCCGGTTCCAGTTTCCCGGCCCCCTGTGGGGATCACGCTCGTCTCCCTGGTGCACGGTTCTCGGTGCTGTTCCTGGACGGCACCCCTGAGTTCCCATCCCCCACTTGGGTTTCAAAGCCCCCTCACTAATTGCTGGTGGCAGGAGGAGGGTTGGGTTGCAGGCAGAGTGGGACCCAGCTCTGCTGGGACACGGTAGGAGGAAAATGCTCCTGTTGCCGCCTGCCTCTGGGGAGTCCTCTGGCGTCTTTGGCCCACTGCTGCGTGAATGCTCCTACCCCTCCTTGTAGCCGACCTCGGCCCCAAACACAGCAGTGCCCGGAGACCCGGCCTGGCTCCGCCGCGGACGTGTCCTATGCACGTGTGCATGGGCATTACCGACCCTAGCGCCCGCTAGAAATGATGTGGGAAGAGAAGAGACCCCCTAGAGACCATTTCTGGCCCAAGGCCTGGGCAGATGGGCCCAGGGCTGGTGTCCCAGATGGGCTGGTGTCCCAGATGTCCGTAGTGCTGCTGACTGAGGGTTGATCCTGTACCCAGGGAAGATGATGGCTTCAGTGGTGCATGTTTTCAGCGCTGTGATTCAGCCATTCCTACTTCAGCTGCAGCTTCGAGCTGTAGTGCCGGAGAGGGGGACAGAGATTCACACTGCACCAGTGGCTTGGGAATGACCCTTCCGCACTCCTCGCTGCTTCACTAGTAGCCCCAGAACCTGTTTGTGTCCTTAAAATCCCCAAGTCTCCGTCTCCTAGCTGGCCCTGAACCACATGCCAGGTGCTGGAGCTGCTGTGTGCTGGCTGCTTCCCCTTGGACCCTGGACATGTTGTGACGGGTTGGATCACAGAAACCCCCTTGGGGCTTCCAACTGATGTGCCAAGACTACTTCTGCCCCTGCTTTCCTGCCCGGGCAGCTTGGGACTCCAGCACCCTGTCTTGCTGAGCCAGACACACCCGTCTGCTCCAACACAGACCCAGGGTCTGAACCACGCGCCCCAAAGCTGCAGACTTAACTGAAAGCAAGTTAAGAAGTGTTCCTGTCTTTAACACTCAGATGCCCAACTCCCAATGGGGTCCAAACCCCAAATAAATCCGTTTTACCCTGTATAAGCTTTATACAGGGTAAACTCATAAATTGTTCGCCCTCTATAACACTGAGAGAGAGAGATGCACAGCTGTTTGCCCCCCAGGTATTAATACATACTCTGGGTTAATTAATAAGTAAAAAGTGATTTTATTAAATACAAAAAGTAGGATTTAAGTGGTTCCAAGTAGTAACAGACAGAACAAAGTGAATTACCAAGTAAAATAAAATGGAACACGCAAGTCTATGTCTAAGAAAACTGAATACAGATAAAACCACCAGTTCCAGTAAGCTTCCTTTTACAGACTAGTCTCCTTCTAGTCTGGGTCCAGCAATCACTCACACCCCTGTAGTTACTGTCCCTGGTTCCAGTCTCTCTCAGGTATTCTTGGGGGTGGAGAGGCTCTCTCTTTAGCTAGCTGAAGACAAAATGGAGGGGTCTCCCAGGGGTTTAAATAGACTTCCTCTTGTGGGTGGAGACCCCCTCCTCTCTCCTATGCAAAGTCCAGCTCCAAGATGGAGTTTTGGAGTCACATGGGCAAGTCACATGTCCATGCATGATTGAGTTCCTTACCAGCCAAGCTACATTCCCGGGAAAGCTCCAATGTGGATTGGCGTCTTCGAGTTCATTGTTGGTTTAAGTGGTTCTTGACTGGGCACTTAATTTGCACACTCCTTTCTCAAGAAGCTGCCCAAATGCTTTACTCAGGCTATGAAGCCAGTACACAGCCAATATTCCTAACTTCACGTACAAAAATGACACATGCCTACAACCAGGAGGAATGTGTTCAGTAGATCGTAACCTTTGCAGAGAGAACCTAACCCTAAAACATATTCCAGTTATATCATATAGACGTTCATAAGCATATTCCCATGAAGCCTTATGGGGTACACCGTCACGCACGTGACCTGCAAGGAAGCGCAGGAGGCCAGTGCTGTCTGGGAGTTCCCAAAAGACTGTCTCGCCGTCCACATCTTACCCGGGAGGTACAGAGCCGCTTGCAGGATCCAGTGTCCAGCTGTGAGTGCAGGAGGGCGGGGGCGTCCGGATTCAGAGCGAGCTCCCCCAGTCACTGGGCACTGCCCTTCCACTTAGTGGAGGAGAGGTGGGCTCAGGGCAATTTAAGGCACTAGTTTTTTCCCCTCAAGGATTTGCTTTCAAGTCCAGGTTAAATCACAAAAGACGTGAGTTTCTGGAGAGTGGTGTCTGGCTAGGAGCTGTGTGTTCAAATCACAGGGGCTGGCCTTTCAGGACATAATACTGGAGTGGTAGGAGGAGCAACAGAGCTGAGGGGTGGGAGATGGGGAGCCCAGGGCTGGGTTAGCAGGGGCTGCGGGTTGGGATTGAGGGGCACTGACAGAGCTGGGGAGAGGGGAGGGGGCTGAGGGTCGGGATTGAGGGGCACCGGCAGAGCTGAGGGGTGGGAGGGAGCCCAGGGCTGGGTTAGCAGGGGGGCTAGCAGTCAGGATTGAGAGCCATCAGCAGAGCAGCGGGAGAGCCCACAACCAGAGCAGCTGTGGGGCTAGGGGCCAGGATAAAGGTGCATGAACAGACCCGTAAGCGGAAGCTTGCACTGCACCTACCCCCTTGGCCCCGAGCCTGCGTTCTGCCCTGCGTGGGAGTAGCAGCCGCCAGCCCCATCGGTCTCTGCGGGGTGGGAATTCCAGCCCCTGGCAGGGAGGTCGACCCCCCCGGGGTTTGCAGTGATTATCGTTCCCCACTCTGCAGTGCCGGCGAGGCACAGAGCTGAGGGGCCACCCAACCACACCGACCTTTGTGAAAGGAAGTTCTTCGTACATTTCCAATGCTCTGTTCTCGTTCGTTTCACTGGCTCTATCTCCCCCCCCCCCCCCCGGCTCCCCCTTCCTTTATTTATTGCTGCTCGTTTCCACAACCCGCAAACCCCGTCTGTCTAACCTGGCCCCAGCCCAGGGGATGAGCAAACCTTGCAGGGACGGTGCTGGTGCTAGGCCAGCGAATACATTTGCAGATGAAACCTAAGCTCAGAGCTGGCTCCGGTCTCCAGGTGACCTCTGAGTTGCTGCTCGCCCTTGCTAAGCGGCTGTAACCTCAATCCCGGCTGACGCTGTCAGCAGCTCAATCCCAGGCTGTTCCTGGCCCAGCGGGAACGGCAGCGTTACAGCCCAGTTAACGGGTGAGCGTAGATGGACCCAGCTTGTAACTGGCTGGAGGCCCTGGCCGCTCTGCAGTGTGGGGTGGCGGGGGAGCGACCCCCAGAGCAGACAGTGGCTGAGTCCCTGACCCGGCTCTGCCATTGGCCCTGGGCACGCTCAGACTTCCCCTTCCATCCATGCTTTGGGGGACACAGGGGTACTAGCCACGAAGCCTCATCCCTCAGGTTGGTCGGCTGGTGGCCCCAAGACAGCAGTGTATCCCCCAGCTGTGGTCTCTGTCCCAGTGTCCCCGGCTGCTGCTGCCGCCACCACCGGTACGAGAGACCAGGACGGAGTACGGAACCCAGGCGTCCTGGCTGGCAGAGCGTTAAGTGAAAACGAGGCCGACTGTATTCGGGGCCAGGTGATTCTTACAAGGGATCCAGGCCCAGGTGAGTTCATGTGTTGTGGGGAAGGCGAGTCCCTGGCTGGGGGGCCTGTGGGGAGAGGGGTTCTCCTCTCCACGTGCAGCCAGGCATCCAGGGAGCAGCTCCCTGCGCCATCCCTGAGCTTGCCAGTGGCAGGGTGACAAGGGAGCCCTTGGCTCTGTGCCTTTAAGGGGAGAGCCAGAGCTGGGCAGGGCTGTGAGATCATTTCTCCTTGCAAGCTCAGCTGCTGTGTCAGTTGCTGCGTGGGACAGAGCCCCGAGAAGAGACGGGGACGGGAGGAGGGGACCCAGCGGCTGCGGGAGGTACCAGCCACTGGTAAGGGACCCACTTCGGCAGCAACTCCGCTTCCCGGGCATTTGGGGGTGTCGGGGGCTTGCTGGGCAGCTGCCCTGCGGCTTCGATGCCTCCTGCAGCCGCAGCTCTGGGCACCGTCCAGGCAGAGCCGAGAGGCGCCTGCAGGGAGTTGGGGTGTATGGGGGGACACGCCTGGAGGGAGGCAGCCTGTGCCCGTGCGGGGCTGGCTCCCGCTGGGTTTATTGCTCTCACGAGGTCGGTGCTGTGCGGCTTGGGACAGTTTCCCAGCTGGTCTCCTGTGGCCTTAGTTAGCCTCTGGGCTGGGCAGTGCCAGGCGCTCTGTGCCACAGCCTCCCGTGGCCGTCTGGGCACTGGCAGCTCCCGGGGCTCTCCCAGTCCCCGCCCCCCCCCTTTCGGCTCCAGGATCTGGCTCTCAGAGGTGCTCAGCACCCACCGCCCATGGCACTGCAGGCACTCAGCACCGCAGGGGATCGGGCCCTGGTCTCTTGCCACCCTTCCCAGCTTCTCAGGCAGGAGCTGCTGCCCCTGGGAGCCTTGACGCCTAAATGCCATGGTGATGGGCCTTTTACAGATAGCTGGTATGCTCCACAGGGTGGCAGGGATGGTGCCACCTTCTGGGGGGGGGGAGAGCAGGGGTCAGTCCAGATCCCTGGGGGTGGATGATTGCCCCTCTCCAGCCGCTTCCACCTAAGGATCCCGAAGTACATTGACGCATTCAGCTTCCTGCAGCTTGCCACAAGCGGGGGAAACTGAGGCAGGGGGCGAGGCAGAGACTTGCCAAGGTCCCAGCGTGAGTCTGTGGTAGCCTGGAATGGAACCCAGGCAGCCCGACTCCCGGCGCGGTGCCTCAAGCCGCGCTCAGAGCAGCCCCTGCGGGACGCTCATGCTCCCCGGATCTGTGGGTTCAAATCCCCACAGGGCCTTTCACTCGTCCCCGTCGGCCAGGCCGTTCGTGGTGCTCCTGTGTCCTAGGACAGCCTGGCTCCAGCCTTCCTGGAGGACCCAGTGCTGGATGCTGGCCGGGGCAGCGGCCTCACCCTGGCGCTCTGCGGGGTTTTGCAATCAGCAGCCAGGGTCCCCGAGCTGCAGAGGGCCCTGGTGTCCCCCCATCATGCAGCAGTTCACTAGCCCTGAACCCCCCCGAGGTTCCCCCCGCTCACAGGGACGGCTGCTTGGCAGCATCTCCCATTCCTCTGCACCCTGGTGGGAGAGACTTACCCAGCCCCCTCCCCGCCGAACCTGCCAGCACAGCCACGTTCCCGCCCTCTGGCCCGCACCCAGCAGCTCCATCCCATGCAAACACCTGCCCAGGGCCAGCAATCCGTGATCAAAATGGGACCCTTCGCTCTGCCCCGTCCTCCCCCCTCCAGCGGCTGGAAATCCCCCTGGCTCTGCTGGGGCAGCGAAGTGAAGTCCATGGGGCTGGGCCGGTTCCCACCAGCTGAGAGGCCCATCCCCTCCCATCTCGCCCCCACCAGGTGCTAGGGCGCTCCTCCCCCGTTCTCCACGGTCCCCCAAGCCAAGCCCTTTCCCTGCACCGACGGGACAGCGGTTCTTGCCTGGGTCTGCGCCGGGCTGGGACCCCTTGTGGGGAGGGTGAAGGCTGAGCGCTGGGCAGGTGGACGATCTCAGCGGGCCCCGTGGGGTGTGGGGGGGAGCCAGGGGCCTTGGGAGTGCCCAGGCTTTGGGCGCTCTGCTGAGGGGCCCAGAGGGCGGCCAGGTGGGGGGAAGTGGGGTGCTTCTCTCCTCCGGCTGGCTTTGCCCAGGGGAGAGCAGGGTGAGGGGCCGTATGTCCCCAGCCCCAGAGAAGGGCCCAGGAGCAGAGCCCAAATGAGAGACAGTCGCCCAGTTCCCCCTGGGTTGAGCCCTTGTGTGTGGCTAAAGCCTCTTCCCCCAAGGCAGCTGGAGACCGCCCCACCGCCCTGGTTCAGTCCCCTCCGACAGGCTGGCTGGAGCAGCTCCCGCCTGGGAGTGCCGACCTCCGGGCAGCCGCCCACGCAGGCCAGGCGGGGTGCTCAGCAAGGAGACGGCAAGGAGCCAGGGACAAACAGGAAGGGGGGAGGGATCGCTCAGTGGCTTGAGCATTGGCCTGCTAATCCCAGGGGTGTGAGTTCAATCCCAAATCAGCACTTGGGCCTGCTAGTGAAGGCAGGGGGCTGGACTCCATGACCTTTCGGGGTCCCCTCCAGCTCTAGGAGGTAGGTCTATCTCCATAAGTCCTGGGTCTCTCGCCACAGTCCCAGCCAGCTGTGAGGAAGTGGGACTGTTCTTAATGTTTCCTCTGAACACTGTGTGGGTGCCTCAGTTTCTGACCGACACTCTGTCTCCTGGCAACTAATGGCCAGGCCCTTCCCCCCTGCAAGGGATGCTAAAGGTGTGGGAGAACAAAGAGGTCAGGTGACCTCCTGGCCCGGGAAAGAGATAAAGGCCAGAAAGGAGGGGCTGGAGGGGGTTTCAGTTTGGAGCTGGCTGGGGACGGGAAGTGAGAGCAGACGGGGGTGTCTGGCTCACGGGACCCCAGAATGGACCCGGCCGAGGGGTCCCGTTTGCCGCTGTACCTACAAGCTCTGTTTTAGACCGTGTTCCTGTCATCTAATAAACCTCTGTTTTACTGGCTGGCCGAGAGTCACGTCTGACTGCGAAGTGGGGGGTGCAGGACCCTCTGGCTTCCCCAGGACCCCGCCTGGGCGGACTCGCTGTGGGAAGCGCACGGAGGGGCATATGCTGAATGCTCCAAGGTCAGACCTAGGAAGGTGAAGCCATGTGAGCTTCTTGCCCTGAAGACAGTCTGCTCCAAGGGAGAGGAGGCTCCCCAAAGTCCTGACTGGCTTTGTGGGGAGCAGTTCCAGAGCATCGCCCGGGGACTCCGTGACACCAGCCTCCAGGGGCTCTCCAGCCAAGCCACCATCCAGACCAACTGGACTTTGTGTTTGTTCTGCCCAGCGGCTCCTGAAAGTCTGAGCTGGGCTGCTTGCCTGCCCAGCCTGGCTAATAGCCATTGATGGACTCCTCCTCCATGAATCTATCTAGCTCCCTTTTGAACCCCGTTATAGTCTTGGCCTTCACAACACCCTCTGGCAAGGAGTTCCAGAGGCTGACAGTGCGTTGCGTGAAAAAATACTTTCTTGTGTTTGTTTTAAACCTGCTGCCTAATAAAACACCCTCGGGCTTTTCCTGAATCCGGAGCGTGCTCCGGGGCCAGATGTGCAGCTGACGGGCTGAAAGAGGTGACTGGAGACGGCTGAGTGCAGGCAGGCCCTGACAGCCCCCCGTGCTGCTCTGCGGGGGCACCCCAGTCCTGTTTTTAAACTCCCCTGCCCTGCTGTCCTGGCCCTGGGCTCCCCCAGCTCTGCCAGTGCCCCTCACTCCTGACCCACAACCCCTGATATCCCAGCCCTGGGCTCCCTCTGCCCCAGCTCTGCCGGTGCCCCTCACTCCCGACCTGCAGCCTCCTGGTGACCCAGCCTTGGGCTCCCTCTGCCCCAGCTCTGCCCGTGCCCCCAATCCCAATGTGCAGCTCCCCCACTGCTGTAGCAACCTTGAGGTAGCTACAGACTCAGGACAGTGGCAGAGATGAAACTGAAGAGAACCGCCGAGTAGCGGCAGCCACTCTGCGCCCCCGGGCAGGCGGGGCCAAGGCCCCGGTATCAACTGGCCCAACCGAGGAGAGTCAGAAGAAACAAGGTGTGTGAGCTACACAGCGAACAAACAGGACCCCATCAACAGACCACCGGCGGCAGCCGGGCGAGTGCCAGTCCCCCACCAGCAGCGATAACACAAAGGAGAAGTGCAGACTGGTTTGCAGGCCAGCACGCCGCAGGGCCTACGAGATCGAGCAGGCTGCAGTGGCCTGACGGTGAAGGCCACGTCCCTTGGGTGGGCGCTGTACGAGTCACCCGGCCCCAGCAAGTCCGCAGTTGCTGGCCCAGAAGCTACAACAACTACAAAGGTAGTTGAAGGAAAGATGGAGCAATCGGCGTGGAACTTGGAGCAGGGGTGACCTGGCGTTTGGAGGAGGCACCAGGCAGTCAGTCTGTGTGCACATGGCTGGAATGCCGCTGTCGCAGCACCTCTGTCACCGGTGCCCTTAATAAAGAGCTAATTTGTTTCACACGCCTGGAGTCCTCTCGTGTTCTCATCCCGTGCACGGTGTATGAAACCCCTGCTATTCCAGCCCTGAGCTCCCCCCCAGCTCTGCCAACACCCCCGTCCTGCTGCAGAGTGCCATGGTGCCAGGGGGCAGGAGCTGGCAGGATGAGCCAGGCAGACGTGACTGTATTGAATGACTCTGGTGTTTTCTCTTGCTAGATGCCCGTCGGGCCAAGCCCCTGACGACAGCCCCATGGCGTTGCACCTCTACAGCCCCCGTGAGTGTCCCCGGAGCGTCCCCCAGGCTGAACGGCATGTGGGCGGGGCAGGAGTGAATGACACGGGTTTGGGCGAGTCACGGGGCGGGGTCAGACCCAGTCACAATCCTGCCAGCACTGGCGGTGGGGGGGGGGGAGCCTGCCCCCTGTAGTGTCTGGGCCCCGGCCTCGTCCTGTTCCCTGGGTCTGTGGGCCGTGGAGCTCGAGCGATCAGCAAACCTGAAACAGGGGCTAGAGCAGCGCATGCCGGGGGGGGGAGAGCTCGGACAGCTGGGGCAGAGCGGGGCCAGCCAGCATCTGTGGCTCCCCACGGTCACTCCTGCTGCGACCCCAGGGAAGCTGGGCGAGCTACAGCACTTCCCCCGTGGCCACTAGGGTGACCAGATGTCCCGATTTTATAGGGACAGTCCCAAGATTTGGGGCTTTTTCTTATATAGGCTCCTATTACCCCCCACCCTCTGTCCCGATTTTTCACACTTGCTGTCTGGTCACCCTAGTGGCCACTAGCTCTCCACGGGTGAGCTGATCCCTCCAGGCCAGCCGGGGAGCAGGGCCCATATGGGAGAACAGAGGCACCCCGGACATGGAACTACAACTCCCAGGAGGCACCCCGGCATAGGGACAGGAATTCCAGTCGGGATCAGTCTGTTCCAAGGCGGTGCCCCAAATGCCCCCAGAGCCCCAGGGCTGGCATCTTTGGGACAAGTCCAATTCACCCAGGCTCAGCGGCGGGGTTCTCCACACCACGGAAGAGGAGAAGTCTCTGGGGCCAGATCCTCTGGTGTAAAACTGCTGATTCTGCCCGTTTGCACCAGCTGAGGGCTGGCCCCATGTGAGGTGTAACGGGAGAGTGCGGACTCTGCGCTCAGGCACCCTGGTGTGAATCTGGAGTGACCCCGCTCCTGAATCATTGTAACTATGGCCGAATTGCCCCCCACCTGCCTTTCGGGGTGCTGCGGCCATTGTCCCGTAGGTACAAGTGCATGTAGGTCTATCACAGGCTCCAAAGGGTTAACAGTGTAGTAGGTTTGCGCCAGTGATGCTGGTTGCATGATGGGGCAAGTGCTGATGAGCCCCAATGGTCCCCTTAGGAGTCCCCATATCACCGGGGAGCCGACTGGGTCTCGGGGGGCAGGTGTCAGCCAGCCAGCACTGTGCACCTCCCCGGTCTTCCCTCGCTGAGCACCTGCTCTCCCCCCCCCCCCCCCCCCCCGCAGGCCCCCCGCCGGATGAGACCCCGGAGCAGATGCAGCAGGGGACTCTGATGCGGAAGGTGAAGTCCAAGAGCTGGAAGAAGCAGCGATACTTCAAGCTGCAGGACGACTGCATGACTGTCTGGTACAAGTCCAAGAAGAACGGCAACACCAAATATACCTGTGAGTACAGCCACTGCTGTGTGCCAGCCCACTGGGCACTCAGTAGGGTTCAGAGTGAACAGTGTGCGGCTGTGTGCACACAAACCAAGGTGTGTGTCTGGTGGGTGGCCAAACATGGGTATGTGCATGGTAGGCATGTGATTGTATATATGGGTGGTTAGATGCATGTGTGTGTGTGTGATTGTGTATGTGTGTGCATGCGTGTCCATGCAGGAAGGTGTTCCCCATGTCCCTCCCAGTTGGAGCCCTGAGATTCCTGCTTTGTTGTGATGCTCTGCTCGGGGTCTGCTGGAGCTTAGGGACAGCTGCCTGCCACACCAGCCTGTCCACCACACCAGCAAAGTCCCGAGACTCTGCCAGTCTTAATCTGGCCGTGAAGGTGCCATGCAGCGACCCTCAGTTCCTGAGCTCCCTGGAGGTGTCTCTCTGCAGCGTCACAGAACACTCACCGAAATGATTAAAGGCGCTGCCTCCAAAGAGCCGGTACACACCGCAGCCTGCTCCTCAGCGCTCACAGGGTTTACAGGCAAACCAGAAGGGCTGTGAAGAAAGAGCAGAGATTGAAGAGACAGAGAACGTGTGCGTCTGGTTACAAATCAAACAAATGTGAAAACGGTTTCGCGTGTCTAGAACTTACCAGTCGCAAGCCGGGTCTCTGGCAATGGCTCGTTTACGGTCAGTTCTCAGTGTCTTCAACCCACAGGCCCGAAGGATCCACCTTTCACGGATCCCATGAGCGCTGGCCTCTTTCCCCCGTCGGTGGTGGATAACGAAGGGGTTCTCTCCCCTGCTTTTTCTAGTCCAGTAAACCTTTGCAATGTATTCTTCAGAAGCGTCTCCCCAGAGAAAGTTCCCCCTGCAGTTTGTCTCTCCCTGGTGACTTCCCCTCCCCTGTCGAATCGGACGTGAACGTAACATCCGTTGTCTTTGGCAGCACCTGGCTGAGACCCCGGCAAACAGGCAGGAATCGTTCCGCTGTGTGTCAAGTGTTCCTGAAATACGTTTTTGGGGCACATGTTCCCAGCACGCAGCCGCAGCTCTGGACCCACAGCACCCAATGATATTAACGACCGCTGGCATAACAGACCTTTTATAGTGCATTGATATTGCAGACAGTTGCTTGTTCTTTGGGGTTCAGATCCCCCGTGAAGGCCAAAAGTATAACAGGGATCAAAAAAGAATGAGAGAAGTTGCTGGAGGACAGGTCCATCAGTGGCTATTAGCCAGGATTGGCGGGGACACAACCCCATGATCTTTAAATCTCTGATGGCCAGATGCTGGGAGTGGATGACAAGGGATAGATCACTTGATGATTCCCTGTTCTGTTCATTCCCTCTGGGGCACCTGGCATTGGCCACTGTCAGAAGACAGGATACTGGGCTAGATGGACCTTTGGTCTGACCCAGTCTGGCCGTTCTTATATTTTTCCCCCGGGGTGTCTGACTCTAATTGTCAGACCCTCCCTTCTCCATCCCCCCATCACAGCCCCCTTTCTGCCATCACAAAATCATAGAATATCAGGGCTGGAAGGGACCTCAGGAGGTATCTAGTCCAACCCCCTGCTCAAAGCAGGACCAATTCCCAACTAAATCATCCCAGCCAGGGCTTTGTCAAGCCGGGCCTTAAAAACCTCTAAGGAAGGAGATTCCACCACCTCCCTAGGGAACCCATTCCAGTGATTCACCACACTCCTAGTGAAATAGTTTTTCCTAATATCCAACCTAGACCTCCCCCACTGCAACTTGAGACCATTACTCCTTGTTCTGTCATGTGCCACCACTGAGAACAGTCTAGATCCATCCTCTTTGGAACCCCCTTTCAGGTAGTTGAAAGCAGCTATCAAATCCCCCCTCATTCTTCTCTTCTGCAGACTAACCAAACCCAGTTCCCTCAGCCTCTCCTCATAAGTCATGTGCTCCAGCCCCCTAATCATTTTTGTTGCCCTCCGCTGGACTCTTTCCAATTTTTCCACATCCTTCTTGTAGTGTGGGGCCCAAAACTGGACACAGTACTCCAGATGAGGCCTCACCAATGTTGAATAGAGGGGAATGATCACGTCCCTCGATCTGCTGGCAATGCCCCTACTTATACAGCCCAAAATGCCGTTAGCCTTCTTGGCAACAAGGACACACTGTTGACTCATATCCAGCTTCTCGTCCACTGTAACCCCTAGGTCTTTTTCTGCAGAACTGCTGCCTAGCCACTCGGTCCCTAGTCTGTAGCAGTGCCTGGGATTCTTCCGTCCTAAGTGCAGGACTCTGCACTTGTCCTTGTTGAACCTCATCAGATTTCTTTTGGCCCAATCCTCTAATTTGTCTAGGTCCCTCTGTATCCTATCCCTACCCTCCAGCGTATCTACCACTCCTCCCAGCTTAGTGTCATCTGCAAACTTGCTGAAGGTGCAGTCCACGCCATCCTCCAGATCATTAATGAAGATATTGAACAAAACCGGCCCCAGGACCGACCCCTGGGGCACTCCGCTTGATACCGGCTGCCAACTAGACATGGAGCCGACAATCTAGCCAGCGTTCTATCCTGTGGGAGACCATGGGTGCTGTATGGGTCAGGGAAGCGATCACCAACGGGGTCTCCAGAGCAGGGTCCCTATTGTGTAGGGCCTCCCAGTGTTTAGATACCAAGGGACAGACTCCAGGGACGGATGGACGGAGGGATTGACAGGTGGATCTGGGGCGATGACATCTGGCACAGGCCCTGCCCCCCTCTAGAGCCTGACCCATCCCTCCCTTCCAGTCTCCATCAGCGACGTGGAGACAGTGCGGGAGGGGCACCAGTCCGAGGTGCTGCAGAGCCTGGCTGAGGAGTTCCCGCCCGAGCACTGCTTCACCGTCGTCTTCCACGGGCGGCGCGGGAACCTGGACCTGATCGCCGGCTCCCCCGAGGAGGCGCAGTGCTGGGTCCGGGGCCTGCGCCGCCTGGTGGAGATCGTCACCAAGATGGACCAGCAGGAGAAGATGGATCAATATCCTTCCGCCGGCCTGGCCCCAAGCCCCGGTTCCCCTTCCCGTGCCCCCTCAGTGCCCTTCCACCCACGCAGAGGAGCAAAGCCAGGGGGCATGGCTGGGAGACACCCCCGTCAGCCTGGGGGACGGGCCTGCCTGCCTCGATGTCCCCTGGATGTCTCCTCCCCAGTGGATGGGGAAGGGATGTGCCATATGCTCATGTCCTGGGGGCATTGGGAGCTGGCGGGCGTTTAGCTAGGTCAGTGAGGGGGGATACCACTGGTGCCCATAGCCTGTGGACGGCCCCCGTCTGTTCCCCTCCCCCGCCTCAGGCAGGGTACTCTCAGCCCCCCGTCCCGTCGCTTTCCTTAGCCCCCCTGGCAGGTGGATCTGCGACTGGTTCCAGAAGGCCGATAAGAACAAGGACGGGCGCATGAGCTTCAAGGAGGTGCGGCAGCTCCTCAAGATGATGAACATGGACATGAACGAGGACCACGCGCTGCGGCTCTTCCAGGTGAGTGCCGTGCCGGGGGGCTGGCCACGCTGGGTGCCTCCCCTTTCCTTGCCCCCCAAAGACTGGCCACCCCCACCCAAAGGCTGTTTTCAGAAGGAAGCCCTCTGACGGAGCAGGTCACATCCATCCATCCATCCATCCATCCACTCAATGACCCACCCATCCATCCGTACGCATCATCCATCCATCCATCGACCGTCCCATCATCCATCCATCATCCATCCTGCCAGGGGCGGGTGGGCATGCACTGGCACCGTCAGTCCTGCAGCGTCCCCCAGGCCCTGCTCTCGCTGCAGATGGCCGACGGGTCGGAGTCGGGGACGCTGGAGGGCGAGGAGTTCGTGCTGTTCTACAAGGCGCTGACGCAGCGAGACGAGGTGCTGGGCGTCTTCCAGGCGTTCTCCCAGGACGGGAAGAAGCTGACCCTGCTGGAGTTCGTGGATTTCCTGCAGCAGGAGCAGCTGGAGGGGGAGAACACGCAGGAGTTCGCCATGGAGCTGATTGCCAGATACGAGCCGTCTGAGAGCGGTGAGGGTCACGGAACGGAGCAAGGGAAGGGACCAGCCCTGGGGGCCGAGGCAGCTTGTTCCCTACAGGGCCCGGCCAGCTCTTTGCTTGCTCTGTTACATGGGGCTCTCGGCCTTTCCTGGGGGTGGAGGGTTCCCAGCCAGATTCCTCGCCCAGACTGGGAGCAATGGGGCTCACCCTTTCCAGGATGGTGCCCTCTTATTCGAAGCCCAGTTTTCGTGATCCCCTTACAACTGCTGTCACAGTAAGAGTGAAAAGTGCATGGACACCGACAGTGCTGTGCCAGTGTGCCTGCCACGTGGGTGTGTCTGGGGTGGGACAGGGACCCCTGCAGGGGCCGGGCACATGGGGGGCGATGGGGGATTGTCT